AGAAACAGTTCGAGATTACCAATCTTGGTGAAGTAAATTCTTTCCTGGTTCTGGAGATTGGACATGAAAATGGGAAGTACAGCGTTTCTCTCAAGGGTTATATCGTGCGAGTTGTGGAGAAGTTTGGCCTTCGAAATGCGAAGGGAGCCAAATCGCCAATGGAAACCGGTTACATAAGGAAGGATGAAACAAGTTCGTTACTACCGGATGCTACGATGTACAGAAGTTTGGTCGGCGCGCTTCTTTATATAGCGGTGTGCGCAAGACCGGATATTGCGGCATGCGTTGCGATACTTGGCCGAAAGGTGAGTGCGCCTACAGAAGCGGACTGTGTGGCTGCCAAAAGAGTGGTGCGTTACCTGAAAACTACGAAAGACTGGAGGTTGAATTTTAATACCGATGAGATCTAATTGGCCATTCCGATGCCGATTGGGCTAGTGATATTGAAACACGCAAGTCTACAACTGGTTTCGCGTTCCATTATGCCGGTGGAGCAGTTTCTTGGGTTAGCCCAAGACAGAATTGTGTCACGCTTTCATCAATGGAGTCGGAATATGTGTCACTGAGTGAAGCAAGCCAGAAGCTGGTATGGTTGCTGAGTCTGTTTAAAGGTCTTGGTGTGCAACAAGGTGGTCCGGTAACTATTCGTTTGGACAACCAAAGTTGTATCAAGTTTGTCGGTGCAGAAAGGTCTACTCGTCGATCCAAGCATATCGAAACAAGGCAATACTACGTAAAGCAGCTGTTTGAAGACAAGGTGGTGGATCTAGAGTACTGTTCAACGGAAAATATGGTGGCTGATATTTTTACTAAGCCATTGGGTACCATCAAGCATCACAAGCTGGCTGGAATGCTAGGTCTATCATCGTGAGCAAAACATGTTCGTTGAGGAGGAGTGTTAAAGGTGCAACGATCGTCCTAATAACGTACCAGTGTAATATGTGTACCAGTCTATTAGCTGTCTACCAGCCACTGAGCGAGATGCGCCATTTTATTTAAGAAAGTGTACTCGTTGTAAGCGCATCGTTAAAGAGAATAAATCTAATTTACTGTATTACAAAAAAAAACTCTTGGCCTTTCATTTCACTGGAACCTCATCCCAAGAAACCAATCTTAGAGCCATTCCCCCTATATGTTTAAAAAATGAAATGGGAAATTTCACTCCTATGTTCCTATAGAAATGTGATCTAGAACTTAAATTTCAATGGAAACCCTGAAAAACGCAACTTTTAAGTTGGAATATCCAAATGAAACTAAGATGAACAGCCAAGTAGGCTAATCATTTTAAATGTTAAATCAATGTACAATCATAATCAACAGAAATATACGTATTTTTACTACTACTAGGTACTACTACTACTACTGCAAGATTTCTGGGATAGTGAAATCACTTTTTTCCCTCCCACAAACACCCCGTTTCCTTATGTAAAATGATGGATGTGCGTTCACAAAACGCACGAAATCTTATAGAAAGAGCAATATTTAGTAAAACTTTTTTACTCAAGCGCTAGATAAAATATGTACCGTAAAACGGATAACGTTGATAGTATAATGTAATGATTTGATTTCCTCTCCAAATTGGAAACATTGGCTCCATATAGTAACTTGGGGTATTTCCTTTGATATCGTATATAGTTTTTCTACAGTAAATGTTACATGTTTTCCAAATATATTGAAAAACAATTTTCTTGTGTTTTGCCTGTTTGAAAAAGCACTCAAACCATCACTTATGATATGTATTTCCGATATATCCATCACAATTTAAATGTTGTCTTCTTACGTCTTATGATGTTTTCTGAATGTATAGTCATTCAAAGTGTCATATATGTTCAACTGAATTGTTTGAGTTTCCGTCATGTTTTTCTACATTCATCAAGCATTATCAAAGCTAAATCAAAATACTGATGTTCGTTCACAAGACCAAAAATTTTCCTTGTTATGTTACATGTTACGAACGAATTGGCTCTAGGACTCAGTACATACTTGTTTAAAAAATAAATAAATTTAAAAAACATTCATTGATGTAAAAACTATGAAACTAATGTTCTGCCCGACAACAACTCAGCAGCACGAGACTCCTTGAACTGTGTCTCAGAGTCGGCGCACTACTGGGCAAACTGGAGGGGCTACGCGGATGAAAAGGCACTCAAGCTTTCAATTAAACTAAAACACAACGCGGATCAATTTAAACACTGTATTTCTGCAATTACCGATAGTGTGGATTGTGTGGTGTTGTGTTCGATTTTCTTTGCACATACCCTTGATGACGATGGTGACTACGAAGACTGCAGACCAGCGAGCGCTCGCTGTGGTTCCGGAATGATCCTTAAAGGCCGATCTTGTCGGCAAGATGGCGGTACCACCGCTCGGTGAAATTGCGGTACAATTCCGGCAATGGCGGACGAAGCGAGGCTGACCGAACGTCGGCCGTAGTGCGATGGCGGGTTGGTTTTACCGGGCTGGTATAGCGGTTTGTGGAGATGGTTCCGATGCACAGGCGCTTCCTTCTGACGAAGCCGGTCGACGACGGCAAGGCCGCCCTCTGTCGAACCGGGAAGGGAAATTCTCCTTGGCGTTTAGGGCCTTCAGCCCGAGAACAATGTCCTTTACGGTTAGGTCAAGGTAACTCAATGTCACCTAGACCGTAGCGTGCAATGGCGGTCCTTGACTCGCCAACCAGAAAACCATTTGATTGGTTGAAAAGAAAGGTCCTGAATCAGCTGAATTGGTGATTTCCACTTCACCTTGATTCACTACGCACTGTATTCTGTTGAAATGTATTCCACAGACACTTCTGGTCTACACGCTCGCCTGAGATAAAGTGAACGATGGCCGTTCTCTAAACATCGTAGAACCCTTCAGCTCATCACCCGTGACTCCGTGTCACCATTTTACCGCGGCCATGCGCGCCTTATTCAGCAGTCGGCCGTTAAGCATGGCCGTATCGTCTGCCCAGTGGGTTTCACCGCAAGTGTTACACAAATTTATTTGAATGCTCGATCACATGGTGCATATTTAAAATATTGTATTAAAACTTTGTAACAGAACGGTTACAACTATTTAGAATATACTTAAAAAAGTATCAATGTAACCCCGTTTTACCGTACCAAGAATATTTATTGGAGGGATTACAAGCTAAAACCAAGGTTGCAAAGACTCATTTCAGCTAAAACAATATTTTTCTAAATTATGAAATAATTAGATGCCATGATCAAATTTTGAATTGGTAGTATACAAGAAGAGGTTGCAAAGAATGTGTTTGACATATTAAACCTGTTTATTTCACTTCATGAGAGTCACAATCAGCGATTTTTCACAAACTCACTCACTCACTCACTCACTCACTCAGCGATCAGCAAATCGCTGATTGTGACTCATAGAAAGCAAAATTTACAGGTTTTATGTTTCAAACACCTCTTCTTGTAAGTTACAAGTAAAACATACCATCATACCATCTTTTGGTTTTATTATTCCGAAAAACATTATTTTAGCTGAAATGAGTCTTTGCAACCTTGGCTAAAACGTTCTGCTATTCGCGATCAATTACGAAAGTTCGCATATAGTGCAAAATTGTGCACTCCATTTTTGTGTGTGGTTTTTTTTAGCGTTCTGATGAAAACCCTACCCTAACAACCTTGAAAATTTACTCAAAACTCTTTACAGGATTTAGAGATCATTTCAGAATTCTCTTTGGGAGTCCATAAAAAAAGGTATCTATAACAGTCTAGATATTCTCAATCAATGAGATCAATCCAAAAGAGCATGAAATTCATCCTTAGATTTTCCTCGAAGCATCCATAATTCAATTTTAAATTCACTTGCATTCTCTTTAGAATTCCCAAGCAATTCATCTAACAATTTTCTTGAAATTTTGTTCACAACTGTCTTGGAGTTGATTCCTACATTCTTTTGAAATTTCCGTAAAACTCTATAAAAATTCGTTTCATGATGCCCTTGGAATTACCTTAAAATTATTCTCGGAAATCCCCTATAGATACTTGCTCGGGAAGGCACTATTCGATCTCCATTCATTGGACTTGTTTCCGTAGTGCTAAAAGTATTCCATGGAGGCTATCGAGGTATGCCTTGGTGATCTTTTAAATTTGCTTTACAGATCATCCTGTATTTCACAGAACCTTGAACCGTCAAGATCTAGAATCTCCTAGGTGTGCCGAAGAGATCCTTCCCTGAAGCTGTAGAATGCTAAAATCGTCACGAAGAAACTGTGCATGTCTACGGGCTTCAAGGTCTGTTTACATATGTGCTGGTTGATAATGCTGATTAACCAAAATTGGTGTATTCCGATTCAAGTTTGTGCTAGAAATTGATGCACCTATGTTAATCAGTACCGAAATAATGGTTTAGATCATGCTAATAACCATGGGTTTGCGAACGACAGGCTCACTAGCACGTGTACCAGCACAAGTGTAAACACCCCATTATGCGGTGTTTGCACTTTTGCTTTTTGCTCAACCACTTCATCCAACTAGCCCTGTTTACATTATGCTGGCTACTTTTTAGTACAATCCTAGAACACTAGCGCTAGCTCACCAGCACACATCCCATTAACCAAGAGGAGTTTCGATGACAAGTATGTAAACTCTTTGGACTTACCCATTATGTCCTATGGATTTGCCCTGGAAGCCTTTCAAGACTCATCCACAAGGCCCTGTTCAAGCTAATCTGCTGACTTCAGAGGTGGCAACAGTATATATTTTTGGAAAACAATCGTCCAGAGTAAAACAAAAAACCAGCACACGAGCGGTCATGTATTTCTACATTACAAGCAAACGGCGGAGATAGAGAAAAGGAAAAATGTCGTAGCCCATTATTTTTCAAACAGTTTGTTGAAATTACATTTTAGCTTCAAGCTTGCGTGTGACAGTAAATTATCAACTCCTTTATTTACGCATAATTTTAACATCTATGCTTATGAGTGGTTAGTATTTATTCTTATCTTATAAACCCATGCAATAAACAATAAATAAATGCTATAATTAGCCAGAAATCAGCAAAATTATACAGGACATAACATGCTGGTCTTATCTGCTTCATTGTGCGAAAATGTTCTGTCGCCTGCAGAAAACTGTTTAGACATGTCATGACATTTTTTCCACTTGCCAGTTGGTGTTTGTGTGTCTTCTCTTTGGTCATTGCGCAAAGTATCAAATGTTCAGGAAAAAACGTTAAACTCCAGTACTCGTGCCTGGACTACACGTTCGGATAAATTTTCCTACGAAGCATTTTAAATAGCAAATATCAACCATTTTTAATTCAAATCTCAAAGCATTACCTTTCATTCTTCTTCACCTTCCGCTGGATCCAATCAGCATAATGCGTCACATTGGTGAACACATCCGAGAACTCATACCGCCAACAGTTGCTGTGACCAAAGCTGGATATCGCCGCCAGGAAGTACCGCCCCTCGAACGGACCATCCCGCACATACTGGAACGGAGCCGAACCCATAAAGTGCGAGCAGTTCTCGCTGTCGTCGTCATGCGAATAAGTACTGCACACCTGGCCCCCCGTCGAATCTAGTGAGATATTTTCTTCCGCGTACTTGCTTCGGCAAGATCCGAAATCGGTCAACTGAACCACATTGCGAATCATTGGTTTCTCCTTGCGGGAGTTCTTCTTCCAACCGATGATGCTAAATTTCTTGGCCGGCGGCAGGGTCGACGATTTTGGCGATAAACAGATAGGGTTGGCAGACGTCGGACGTTCCAATTTTATTAGGGCAATATTGTTGGCGAACTTTGGATTGTTGTAGTTTGGATGTACGGAAATTCCTCGCACGGGAATACGGGTTGCCGTCGTCCTAGTGGTTTCTCCGTCGATTTCAAAGATATCGTTTACCGTGTCGAGTTGATAGTCGTTCAGACGCACCGACTGGCTAAAATCACATCAAGGGTTGATTACATTGAATATGTAGAAGAACACGTCTGTACTTACATAGTGGAAAGTCGTTTCTTTTGAACACAATTAGCGGCTGTCACGAGGAAGCTAGGATGAATCAAAACTGCATGGCAGGTGTCTTCCAGGACTAGAGTGTTCGTATTGATATACTCGATGACAGCCAACCAAGGGTACTGATTAAGATAGCCCTTTTCTTCTTCAGGTGTTCCAGACGGATATGTATCCTTTCCACAGCTCGCAATGTTTAGAAGGTTGGCCTGATTTTCAGAATCTCCAGGTTGCCGTGAACTGGGCGGAAGTTCTATTATGTCTTCCTCGATTTCAAATTTGGTTGTTATATTTGCTTCTGATGTGATCCAGCGGGTGTAATACGATGCGTCTGTGAACACCACAAAGCTGTTTGCCTCTAAATGAAGCGTGTTCGGATGCGCCTTCGTAGAACTGACGATGCCTCGCAGAGCCCAATGCTGGCCAAGACGGAGAAACAGGCCTCCTCCGCTGTCTCCCTGAGCTGCATGTGTTCCATTGAGATACCCTGCGCAGAACGTTTTTGGCTCAAAGTAAAACTTCGAGTAATGACTGGGATCACTGTCGATGCACTCCTTTTTGGACACAATCGGCGCAGCAGCTTCGTTCAGCTCTTGTGGTAATCCATGATTTTCATTATATCCCCATCCAATTATATATCCTACCTGAGACACAATCTTACTCAGCGTAGTGTCACCTTGCCACAGACAAATCGGCTGTACGTAGCTGTTGTATTCAATATCAGTATACAGCTTCATCAAGGCTATATCATCTTCGAATGTTCCTTCATTGTACCCCTCATGACGTATGATTTTGTCTATATTGTGCTGTTGCACATGCCTGTCAGGTGCATCCAGATTGGTTACTCCTACCTTGATGTAAACGCGATCTGCTGGAATTCGTTGCTTTTCATTTGGATCGAAGGTGCAATGAGCGGCCGTAATCACAAATTGCTCAGTCAAAATCGTCACACCGCAAGCATACGACGTTGACCGTCTATAGCGATGGAACATGGCACCGTGCCAAGGCCAAGCTCCCGCTACTGCCTTATATCCATGGTGAATCAGCTGCTGAACAACCGTCTTCTTTTCTCCGCAAGTTCCAGCTGAAACGAGAATCAACCATAATTACGCACTATTCGATAATATTTCTCAGAACCTACCGGCATCTGCTCTGGCAGCGAGCAAACTCAGCGCTAGCACAATTCCAAATGCGAACACTCTCATGATCAACGAAAGACTGATCTCGATTACGATGGGAACATTCAGTGGAGCAAAGAATTTCGGGGATTCCGTCCTGAGAAACCGATGATAACGGTACGAACAAAACAAGGACCAAGTCTACCTTCAAGACTCTGGAACCAATGGCAGTGCTACTGGCTTCCAGATAAGAGAAAACCGTCGATGACTGAACAGTGGCTTTGCGCGCTGCAAGACCAATTCCCAATTCCCTGCTGATTAGTGTGCGACAACAAACAGATAACGACTGCATGACTACGTACATACTTGCTAAGTTGTATTAATGTAGTTTACATGTATGTGGCACAGATGTGTTTTTTCAACTTTAATTCTTTTGAAATTTATAGGTCTAAAGGTCTCCTTAATATGAAAGGACCTGGGATTAGACTGGCTCACATTTATATGGGGGAATTTTTTTATCATTTTTTTTTTCAACGGGTCAATCCCTAGAAAACCACTCTTTGAAAATTTCAGCTCATTCGGATGTAACACGAGCTGGCGCTTTTGATTTAAAATTTATATGGGGATATTGGTTGGAATGAATGGAGGAATAACATTCCTTCACTCTTAACGTATCAACAAGATTACCACTAAAATAAAAGTTCATATTTTCCACAGGCCAACATCCAGGCTCGTGTCTTTTAGTGCGATAACCACTATCTGAATGTTTCAGCTCATTTTGACGTTACACGAGCTGGCGCTTTATGTTTAATGTTTCTATAGCAGATTTCTTTGAAATTTTCATATACAAAATGCTCATATACATTCTAAAGCGAATATCTCAATAAAACTAACTGGATTCAAGATGCAATCTTCAACAAAGTTGTTGCTCATTAATGAACTACTAGTTTTGAAAATCTGAACTAAATCGAGAAAAAGGTAACTTTTCTAAGATCCTTAGAGTGCAGGTGTGTCACTTTTTCATGTATTTTATCCATCGTACATGACGTTTCATAACACCGGGCCCAGGATGGAGCCTTGTGGCAACCTGATCTATACAAGGTATGGAGATCTAGCCCTGACGTATGTGTTGGTAGAGGGAAAAATGTAAACTTTGCGGGAGATGATGGTGACGACGTCATAACACTCTAAAGGAAATTTGCGAAATAAGAAGTAAAACAAAATCTAGCTATTTTTCCATGATGATTTTGCCTCGGATTTTGCTTGATTGTATTCTTTTGTAAAGTCGCCGCGAAATATCAGCTAGCAATTTTTATTTTATGATAACTCCTTACTTGAAAACAGGCAAAAACTCACAAACAGGCTGCTTTTTCATGGTATACAGTGTGATAATTCTATTATCAATAAATTATCTCAACATTTAGTGGCAGACCATTCATAAATTTTGGTAACATAGGGGAAATGACGGCTTCGGCATGACAGACTATTTTGGGCAACCCAAATTGAAACGCTAATTTCACAGGATTTTCTTACGAAAACACTTCGCTGAATGCATTAAAACGATTCTTTAGGCTTTCAGCTTAAATTTGATTATATTTTTACCACTGAGAAAAAGCAAACTAGCAGGGTTTTCTTGAAATGAAACACACGCACTATAAAATGCTGCTGATTTCGAGTTGCCGATGAAAACGCAGCTGTTTAGCACGCAGCTCAAATAGAAAGCTTGCCGAATAAAAAGATGTTGCCCACAATAGTCGCTCTCACTAGAGAAGATTGGAGCTTTGTAAAAGCGTTTCAAAACAGTTTTTGACAATTCTTTCGACTGAAATTGTTAGGGCAGCTGGCAGCAAAAGATTGCAAAAAAAAAACCAATATTGCATACGTGTGCGTTCCTTATAGAAAGTTGGTCGCTGCTTAGATTGCCGAGAATACGTATATTCCCCTATCTAAATTCTATAATCCATATTAATTTTTCTATGCAAGCGCCGATCGAAACAAACGCTATGACGTCACTACAAGGGTGATTGAGTGAACGAAAGAAACGAATCGTGCGAAGCGGAATGAAAGCCGAGTGAAAAACGAAGTGCACCAATACATTCAGGCCTACAATTCTACACCTTGTATAGACCAGGTTGGCCTTGTGCAGACCCCCTTCACTCTTTGGAATTTATAGAGACAGATAACAGCGCCAAACGGTTTTAAACGAGACAACGTTGAACTGCTGCGTCGGAAGAAAACACGCACACCAACATCTATGTACGAACCCACACATCTGAGCGGACGGTGTCATCACTCATCGTAATCATTCAGTTTCGGCTACTCCCGTTTGCGTTTGTTTTCACCGGTGTTGTCAAATATTTCCTACGCATGCTGCGTTGGCATATTATATTACGTTTAGCAATGATTTCGATACTTTACATTTCCAGTGGCTGGGGTGTTGGGGTTTTTTCCCATGTTTACTTCTATGCTTATTAAGATTACATATGTTGAAGAACAGCTCCGCAAATCATCGATTACTGTTAGAGATTTGAATCTTACTGATTCGATTGGTAAAAGTGGACCGTACACGATTGCTTTTATTGACAATACATTCTATATTGACGTCAATAAAGGGTGATACGGTCAAAATTTGGTCAATATCAACTTGACGTATTTCTTTCAATTTTGCATTTAAAAAACCTGAACACCCCTCATTTTGAAGGTGTGTGTGTGTAGAATGTTGCTCCTATTTTGATTTTGGAATTCACTCTTCAGTTGTCAAAATGCCGTCCAAGCAAGAAGAGCAGCGTATCAAAATTTTGCTTGCGCATCGCGAAAATCCGAGCTACTCGCACGCAAAGTTGGCAAAATCGCTAAAAGTTGCCAAATCAACCGTTACAAATGTAATTAAAGTGTTTGGGGAACGTTTGTCGACAGCCAGGAAGTCTGGATCGGGGGAAAATCGAAAACCGGAAGCCGCTGAGACGACAAAGAGAGTTGCCGGTAGTTTCAAGCGAAACCCTAACCTCTCTCTCCGAGATGCCGCAAATAAGCTGGGTGTATCGTCTACAACCGTGCATCGAGCCAAAAAACGAGCCGGACTATCGACTTACAAGAAGGTAGTGACTCCAAATCGCGATGATAAACAAAATACGACGGCCAAAGCGCGATCCCGGAGGCTGTACACGACGATGCTGACGAAGTTTGACTGCGTGGTAATGGACGACGAAACCTACGTCAAAGCCGACTACAAGCAGCTTCCGGGACAGGAGTTTTATATGGCAGATGTTTTCAAGCACATGAAACTGTCAAAGTTCGCAAAGAAATATCTGGTTTGGCAAGCCATCTGTACCTGTGGCTTGAAAAGCAGCATTTTCATAGCTTCCGGGACTGTCAACCAAGAAATTTACGTGAAAGAGTGTTTGAATAAACGTCTGCTGCCTTTCCTGAAGAAACACGGTTGTTCCGTACTGTTTTGGCCGGATTTGGCATCTTGCCATTACGGTAAAAAGGCCATGGAGTGGTACACCGCCAACAACGTGCAGGTGGTTCCCAAGGACAAGAACCCTCCCAACACGCCAGAGCTCCGCCCAATTGAGAAATACTGGGCTATTGTCAAGCGGAACCTAAAGAAGACCAAAAAAACTGCTAAGGGCGAGCAGCAGTTCAAGGCAAACTGGCTTTCTGCGGCGAAGAAGGTGGACAAGGTGGCTGTGCAAAATCTGATGGCAGGGGTCAAGCGTAAGGCCCGGCAATTCGGATTTGGAAAAGCGGAAGCCTAACTGAATATTTTTCCTGAATTTTATACTAATTGAACTTGAAAAAGAAATTTAATTTGATTTTTTAAATAAACGATTTCACCGATTTACACGCGTTTTCCCTTGACCAAATTTTGACCGTATCACCCTTTAGTTTTATTGCTAGGGAACTTTCTTTTGGGATCGTCTTTTCTTCATACAATTCTCATTATTCATACTATATTAATCATGATCAGTCTTAGAAAATGTTATATGTTCTAGATTTGCTTGTTATTCATATCTTATGCATTACAGCTCGCGAGAGGTCGTCTCAGCGGCTTCCGGTTTTCGATTTCCCCCCGATCCAGACTTCCTGGCTGTCGACAAACGTTCCCCAAACACTTTAATTACATTTGTAACGGTTGATTTGGCAACTTTTAGCGATTTTGCCAACTTTGCGTGCGAGTAGCTCGGATTTTCGCGATGCGCGAGCAAAATTTTGATACGCTGCTCTTCTTGCTTGGACGGCATTTTGACAACTGAAGAGTGAATTCCAAAATCAAAATAGGAGCAACATTCTACACACACACACCTTCAAAATGAGGGGTGTTCAGGTTTCTTAAATGCAAAATTGATAGAAATACGTCAAGTTGATATTGACCAAATTTTGACCGTATAACCCTTTATTACTCTGTGCTAATATGAGTTATTTAATAATGGGCATCCATACTCAGAAACTATACCCGACCTCAACAAACTGTACCGAAATCAGAACAGCTATACTACTCGGTAAGATTTTGGCATTTCTATTTAATTGTATTAAGCTATTTCACAGACACCAGACGTCCAAGTTCGGTCAGAAACTTGTGTAAAGTTAAGTGGAAACGTTGCCGTTACGTGGCGCTAGCATTTCATCTATAAATTTATCACTTTCGACCAATTTGGTGCTAGTATCTGCTGAAAATTGCCACTTGGCGCTACCAGCACTTAGTGTCTAGTGTAAGTTTTGCAACTCCAGCGCCATCATGTTGTCAAAGAGGGTTTTTAAGTGGGGAAGTCGCCGTTAGTGGCGCTTAAGTCGAATAGAAATCTTTACACAAGTTTTTAGAGAAATTTTAAAGCCTCATTGTCGTTTCTCTGTGGCTATCTTATATCGAGCTCTTTTCAATAATTGCAACATGTGAATAGTTTAACATTGTTCTAGAGCCAAATTGGTTTTGAAGTAAGGTCAAACTACAAACGAACAGCTCAGCCGCTCTGAACCCTATGAAAATTATGCTTTCCCAATATGGTACATTTTCTCCCTATAAACCTGTCATTTCTAGCCTATCTGAACTATTTAATAAATGGAAACCATAACATGGGTTACGCTCCTCCTAAGCGGGCCCTCCGCATCCTATCTCTGTCTTATCTTATATACATTGGAAATGACGTTCAATCAAATAAACCCATACCCCACTCACTTGGCCAGGCTTCAGAATCGTCCAGTGGGCAGTGCGCTCTACACTCCATGTTTGCTTTCTTTCAAATTTACCCCAAATTTTATATTTTACCCTTTGGAGTGTTGATTAATCACAATGAAACATTGTGACAGAGCACGGACTTGAGGTTACTAGAGTATTAAATAATCTAGGTCCTAGTTAGGATTATATCTGAAAAATCCAAATTTGGCCAACGCCCACCAAATTTTGCGTATAAAGTGGTAATGATTGAAAATCGAAGCAATCACAAACAAGTAAGAATCTTGCTATCGCAATTTAATGATAATAACTTCGAGGATGATATCGTCCTCTTCCCTCGGCTGATCATCAACGGCCGCGTTGACATCTGTCATGCTGACACCTGTCAGTTATTGAGCCCTGGTGGTAAAGTTGGCGGGGAACTCCCAACAGTTTCAATGTGTAAAGACTTAGGCTCCAATCTCACCGCGGGCAAGTCACGAATGACCTAAAATGTGTTAAACAAATCAGATAAACGATAATCATTAGTTCAACGACAGATGAATTTCAATTAAATTTTAAACAAGACGTAAACAGCAGAACTTCAAGTTAAGTTGCTTTCATTTAAAACGTCTTGACTGCATAATGAAAGCACAATATGATATCAGACTTATGTCGCAACATTTGAAATCAAAATGAGTTTTCATTATGATAGGAACTGCACACTTTAATATCGATTTGCTTTTATTTTGTTAACCGACTTTGCTCGGGAATGCTACCGACGCCAGGGAGGCAGCTCCCACAGCTGAGACCCTGGTGTATAGGCTTACAGGCTCTCAATAAACAACTGTGAAAGTGCTCAAAGAACACTAAGTTGAGAGCAGGCGTAAATTCCCAGCGTGGGGACATTATAAAGTAAAAGAAGATGAAGAAGAACCCGAAAAGCTTTTCTATCGAACAGAGAATCGAAGTCACCACTGCATCATCGTCTTGTTTGTATTGGGTTTTTTTTTTTCTCTGGCCAACCACAGCTAAACCATGCATTAAAATTTCTCAATCAACCAAACTCGGGAAACGAACCCGATTACCTAACCACCAACCAGAATCACCCAGGAAGATCATTACCATAAATTTACAACTCCTCATAAACACGGCAGCGGTTGCGAGCGAGTGGGGAGACCTCAGCTGCCATGCTCAATCCGATCAACCCCAGTCCCGGTGCCAAGCCATTAGGCGCCTCAAATAGATTGAAACGTGCAATCAATTCACAACTGGCCAACAAACAACATACAATCCATGGAGTGCTCGCGCGTGCGCTTGCACGTAAAAAAACAACAACAACAGCCGAGGACCAGAGAGTAATCGCAAACCAATTTGATCATCGTTACTTTCCGCCATGGTCTTTACAAATCATTACGACCTTTCCCCACCCCCAACCATTTCTCTCACTCCGCGAGGTGGTTGATAGCTGATGCTCCTCACTCGACCGAACAACCACCGATCGACCAACGACGACGACTTAACAGAGTCTTCAAAAATTGCTTCAAAAACCACACCAGATAATGATCGAACATCACGATTCCATTTTCGCGTCTTATATTTTTTTTTCGCTGTTGAACCCCCACCCCACACGACTCGTATCACGCGCCAAACTCCGCACGGATCTTTCTAACAACATCACGGAAAACAAACATATAACCCTCGCCCCATCCCGGACTCTAGGAAGATCTGTTTCTGTTGCCGCCGCCGCCGCCGACTGACTGACTGCTGCAGAGCGCTGTGGCAGCCTATTGGAATCACGAATGACGAGGCGCCTCCTCGTGCCCTTCTTTTCTCCAGCGCAGCAGAAGACAACAACAACAGCAACAACACATCAGCAACATTAACAAAAAGAATGATCTCTATTATGCGCTGCTCGCTGCTGCTGGGCAGGGAGAAGCGATCGTCGAGAAGACTTCTCCAGCCGCGGAACAGCTCTTCTGAAGTGGTCTGCAAATAGACACGCCACGCGAGGATCGGGAAATATACTAAATACAATTTTCTACAAAATACGGACTCAACATCTCAGACACCCACGTGCCATCGTTCAAGTGATCCGCGCCGAGTGCCCACCCTCGCCACTCGGCTATGAGGATCGCGGTGGGCTTCAGTCAACGGCACTGGCGTGTATCGAGGGGAGCACAAAATGTCATTCCGCATTCTTGGTACGATCCTCGACCGGAGGCACTGAACCTCCCATTTCCAATAGCCTGAAAACGGCCATGTCCACTAACTACCAAATGGTGGTATGCATAAATGGAAATCTGGAGCGTACCTACCTCGGTTCTGGAGCGATCAAGGGTTGGAGAGGTGATGGCAACGATGCGCCTGCAATTGAATATACATATGGAAAGCGATAGATTTATGCGCGACGTTTCGATCTACGGAGCGGGTTCATTTTGCGAAACGATCGCGCTTGCCTGTGTGGTCAGAACGGCCCGCGTGATGGAATTTCCAATTTGTGAACGGAATCCCTCGCTGCCGACCATCCCACCGAAACTGGTTAATTGGAACAGGAAGTGTAGTCGAGCCGTGTATCAAATCAATCCATGCGGCATTTGTGGTGATGGAGGTGGAGGAGATCTCTTGAGATCACCGTCGCGCGGTTCCCTTTGTCAGTAGATCCTCCCGTAGGATAGCGAAGATGGGAGGAAAGGGGCCGCACTGCACAATATCAAAACTTAATAGCTATTCAAATATTTGCTTGGCGACAGTTGGGATTTATTTCCTCGCTGGATTTGCTTCGGATGTCGGTCGGTCGGTCGCTCGCCTGTATAGAATTAATGGGGCTCCACGAGGGCGCACACAATTGTCTTCACTGTCTGTTTGTTGAATGCAGTTTATTGTTCGTGTTGTAGGGCTTTCAAAACAAACATTATTTCTTTCCTTCAAAGCCCAACATAATAAATGACTCAATTAATTTTTGCCTCGTTTTTCTTTTTTTCTTTTTCCAGAACTACACGCGCGCTCTCTCTGAACCGGGGAATGCCAAGTGAGATCGAGTGCTAAGAGGTGCCCAGGAAAAAGATGCGAGAAAAAGATCACTCACCAAGAAAGATGCTCCCCAGTCCCAAGCAGGCTGCGGTCTATCCGCTACTTGGCCTCGGGTCAACCATTTCGGCCCAGCTTCCCTTCGACTTCTCCACCAACAGCCGATCCTCCTCGTCAAACCTGCTACACCAACAGCAGAGTCTGCTCGATCAACCATTGGATCTACGAGTGGAACACAAGAAGTCATCCAACAGTAGCAGTTCGACCTCGGACGAGGAAGAAGTCCCTCGGACTCCGGCCGAGGACGTCACCAAACCCAACAGTGTGATACCTTTCCAGGACAACAACAATAACAACAATCTGAGCAACAATAACACCGATAGCAGTAATAAAAGTCCAAGTCCCATCAACCATAACAACAACAATAACAACAACAACAACAACAACAACAGCGTCAAATATACCAACAACAATCACATCAATGTGAAAGATGAGTTCCGAATATCCAATCTAGCGAACCACAGTCCACCGATCTTCCCGCCACCGGGGATCAACCCGCTCATGCTGGAAGCGATCGCGAAGGCTGGTCTCCCACTACCCGGCTACCGACAGCACTCTTTCCTCCCCGCTCGATCACCCGTTTCGTACGATCTCCAACGACTATCTCAGCTGAGGCAATCAGCCAACGGGAACGGAATCGCCAACAACAACAACAACAACAACAACAATAACAACACCAACAGCATCAACCACAACCTTCCGCCCGGAGCCACCAAGAACAAGGATCGCTACTCGTGCAAGTTCTGCGGCAAGGTGTTCCCTCGATCCGCCAACCTAACGCGCCATCTCCGGACCCATACCGGTGAGCAGCCGTACAAGTGCAAATACTGCGAACGTTCCTTCAGTATATCGAGCAACCTGCAACGCCATGTGCGAAACATCCACAACAAGGAGCGCCCCTTCAAGTGCGCCCTCTGCGAACGGTGCTTCGGTCAGCAGACCAACCTCGATCGCCATCTCAAGAAGCACGAAGCCGACGCTGCTGGGTTGGGGCTCGGTCTGGACGAACGCCTTCGGGCAGCCCGACGGAACTCGCGAGGCATTCCGGAGGATTCCTACTTCGAAGAGATCCGCTCCTTCATGGGCAAGGTAACGCAACTACCGATCCCGCTGCGAATGCAACACCACCAGGCGGCGCAGCATCCGCAGCTGCACCATCAATCGTTGGCTCAGGTGCAACAGCAGGCCCAACAGCAACAGCACCAGCTGGATCAGAGTTCTTCCCGTAGCTCGACGCCGTCGGAACCGGCTTCGCCTGCCGGCAGTTCGCACAGTGCTCACCTGGAGATCAAGATGGAGACCAACGATGAGGACGAGGAGGATGCAGAGCAGGTGCAGGTTACCTGACCGGTTGACGGACAGCACCAGCACCGGTGCGATTAGAGTGTTAGGTGGGGCGAGGGGGTTTAGGGGGGGGGGGGTTGCTAGTTGACCGGGGCCAGGTTGAGGTGATGGCGATGAATGAACAATCTTGGAATTGAATTAGACTCATTGAACAGCTAGTAGCGGTCTTGGATTTTTTAAATTAGGGTGGGATCTTCGATTAACAGGAATCCATGAGGAAATTTTATCTAATGTCGCATTTTCCGATTCCCAGGAAACTGTTTTGATTGCCTGGGAAACAGTTTTTTTTTGTTTAGCACAGAAGTTATACTAACCATACAGTTTAAAATAGAACAGAACACCCGGGAAAATTTAAGCCAGCGCCGGTGGTGTAGTGGTAAGCATGAATGCCTTCTCACCCCAATGGGTCTGGGTTCAATCCCAGCCGAAGTCGGTGGGATTTTTCTGAGGCATAAAAATCGTTGGTCCCGTCTTGCTTCGGAAAGCAAGTAAAGCCGTTGGTCCCGGCCCATGTGTGTTGTGAATGGATGCGATATCCTACGCAGGTGTGGAAGCTGCCTTTCAATCGATGTCCGACGGTAATTGGCACTAGATTGCGGAACAGAGACCGACAATTAAATAAAGGAAAGAAGAAGGATCCGGGAAAATTTACTTATTTGATCTTAATTGGGAAAAGAAGGAGAAACTATCAAGAGGAGTCGGTAAAAACTTCCGGAGAAAGCTGGCAAGAACTACCGGAGAATTATAGAGGAATCCTTTGGGAAAGTTCGAAAGTAATTTCCGGGGGATCTCTAAAAATACTTCCCGATGAAATTGAAAGGCACAACCACGGGTAGCCAGAAAGTTATTGGGAGAAGTCGAATTATTAAAAAAAAGTCTCATAAAGGAAGTCAGATGAGACTTTCAAGGAAAATGGGTAAACAATGATATCTACTCAAATTTGAGTTTAGTTTACTCATAATCGCCGAAAGTGCAGGAACTCAGCGATGAGTAAATTTGCTCATGTTTTTGTTGTGGAAAACCTCCAAAAAAAATTATCCCACGTCGAGAAGATGTTAAGGGGAAGTTCACAAATCCAGAACAAAATGTTTTTTTCTGCTCCTAAAAAATTTTGAAAAAGATTTAAAAAATCCAAAAAAGTCAGTTTTTTTAGATTCTTGGGAAAGCTTAAAACAAAAATTTACCCTCAACAACAAACCGAAAGGTCGATGTTTTGTGGTTTTCCGATTACAATTTTATGCCATGATGACTTACTAAACATGATTTTGTGCATGAGAAGTTTGGACAACTTCCAGGAGATGTTTGGACTATTTTCAGTGCTTCATACAACTTCCTAAGGAAATTCACAAAACTTCCAGGAAAAGTACAGACAACTTTCAGAGGAAGCTTAAAGAACTTCAAGGAGGTGTTCAAATTACTTTAGGGGAGGATTTAGACAGCTTCCATAAGATGTGCAGACGTGTTTCAGGAGAAGTTAGACAAGTTCCAAAGAAAACGTTCATTCGGATTCCAGAGTAAATACAGAAAACACCCAAGATCCTAGCTCAGACTGCTTCCCAAAGAACTTCAGACAACTTCCCAATAATATCACACAAATTTGTAATATTCTATACAAGCTTGTAAGCAACTGCTTTACATTTCAACGCTGTTGCAACGCACCTACACAATACCGCCTAATTCTATAATTCTGGGAAAAACTTGCATGCAATATTGTAAGCAACAATGTGGTTTTCCCCGGGTATAGCTTAAAACTACACGACAGATTTTTGAACTGTCGATTAGTGCTTATGTCTGTGATTTCTATATGAAGGTACACTTTGTGAAAAGCCAAAAATGGAACATGTAACGAAATTATGAAAGATTTTGAACGTTAATAACGCAGCTGCCCCTGAACCAATTTAAATAATTTCATCACCAATCGATCAGAAATATTTCCACGCATCGATAGCAATGCTTTCGACTGTTGATTTTCAGTAAGAAACTATTGAAAAAGTTGGAAAACGACAAGCATTGTCCAAAAGCGTCGAAATAACTAACAAATCCACGTACATGCATATGCTGCTTCCCCAACACTGTCATCCAGAGAGTCGTTAGTAGACGAAACAAGTCGAAGTGGCATTCGGCTCCGATCTTCGGGTGTGTGTGACTTGTGTAACATTTTGCACACTCATTGCCATATTCAGATCCACACGACCCCAACGACCACACAAAATGCTCTCCAGAGTTGTAATATTGTAACCAAACTTGAATCTTCGTCGACTTCATCGACTTTCAGTTTCGTTAATAAACCGACGGCAAAGACATTCATTGATACGTTTGTTGTTCTGGATGATAGAAGAGCTTAGCAGAAATAGTGCGAAATAGGTTAGTGAAGCCATGGTCATCAAAAGAGGAAATCGATAAAGAGTCGTCATAGCAATGAAAACTAGCATCGCATCGCTTTTGGTTCTTGGGTTACACTTGCTGGTTGCAATTCTGCTGTTGGACAGTTTCGAAGGACCACCAAAAAACAGAAAATTTCACTATTTTCTAGGGTTGCCTAAAAGTTCAATTATTCGATTAATGATTAATCGCTAAGATTTTTCCAGCTATTCGATTAAATATTTATCGAATTTTCAATTATTCGAGCGCATAACCGGCACCCCTTCTTATTTCTACTCGTTTGATTTAGCGCAGTAGAGAAAATAAATAAAAGTACTAGGGTAAACGCTCCTATAGTAGCGGTACTTTAGAAGCGTTAGGTTCCTATAGTTAATTAATTAATTTAGCTTTATTTAGGAGGCTTTCAGCCTTAGGCTGGTTCGCCTCCGAGTTCCTATAGTTGTGTATGGAGACTCAATACACAACTATATGAACCTAACGCTAGTTCATCATCTGAACAGGCATGGAGAAGAACCATGACGTGAAACAGGACCATAAATTCCCCGAAAAAAGAGTTAACCGTCTTTCTTCTAAAGGCTTAGAGGAGCAACTTGTTGAAAGAAGGAGTTTAACGAGAAAAACTAGAAAGAGGAGGAGCTTTAGCTGGATGGACACTGATATTCTGCGGCCTTCCAACTTTTCGCAGACACCAGTTCAACCCCTGTCCAGCAGCAGACGGGCCGAGACTTTTGCGATTGCCCAATCATTGAACCGAAGAATAGGAATTGTCCGGTACGATTTGCTGATCCTGCTGCCTACACGTCATCATCATCTTCCAAAGGCTTTAAGCCTGTACTATCGTCGGACCTTTTCAGGGCCACCAAGATTTTTCAGAAGGGTTAAATTTCTGAACATGTTCCAACTAAAATTCATATCAAAAGGTTCTTTTCAGGGCAATCATTGTCATACTAAAGCTTGAGCTTGAGCTTGCTTGAGCTTGATTGACCGCCCACGGTTGCTACTCTGTTACTGCCAAATCAGCTGTAAATACACAGAGAACCAATAGACGATGCTTGGGACTAGCAATCATCCTCAATGTGTAAAAACTGGTGATCTTAAATTAGGCAATACCAGCGCCGGCCGCGCCCGAACACAGGTCAAGAAAGGAATGAGAAGGATTGTGTTGACATGACACTCGCTTTGATGGAAGCCGAGAACACCTCTGCACTTCCACGAGGAATCACTGGGATGTTGGATAAGAGGGTTGAGTTTGCAGCAGGGTTCGTTTTGGTAAACGATAAGCTGAATTGATGACCTAACGATCATATAACGCGAAGGAGCTTGGGACTAAACCCACGGTCTTCTGCTCAGTAAGCAAAAACGTTTACCACTAGGCAGACGAGCACCTTTTTAATCACCGAGTTGCTGTTATTACCATGTAGTCATATTAACAAATAAAACGATTGACGAATCTTGAATGTGGATGGGCCTGAGATTAGACTCATGATGTTCTGCTCAGTAAGCAAAAACGGTTGCTCTAAGGCCACCGAGCCCCTCATATCACATAATACCGTTGCTCAAATTTGTGTATCCATTCAAACCCGGAACCAACGACAACAACGAGTTTCGCAAAATACACGATACACAAGCGATTTTACCATAAATCTCTTTGATATGTAAGGACCTGGGACCGCGTTTTTCTGCTCAGTAAGCAGGCCACTGTAACCGACGATCTTTCAAATCTGAAAACTAAAAACTACGAAAAAGTACTTAATCCTTCATTAAGTTCCACTTTCACGCGACGTTCAATGACAGGGTCCTATCCAGGATTACATCTGAAAAATCCAAATCCGTCGAACGCCCACCCTAAACCTAAACCTGTTCTAATCCACCTGAAATGACTAACGAATGGAAGACTTTGACTACCCAGCCATGCAATAGTCTCATTCCGTGTCTTATGGCAACTTGATGATTCTATTGCGCTCATCTTTTGGCACCGCCCAGGGGAGACTTGGTCCTGTACCCAATGCTTAACTTATCTCCATTCCACTCAGCTACTCGCAATTTCTTGTGATATAGTGGGCGGAATATTATTATATGAGACAATTCAATGCAGACGTCTTTCCAAATTTGGCAGATCGACAGGTAATCGGTGAGTTACCACGATAGTTGCTATTCAACAACTCGACAACGTCCCATCGTCAACGCCTGCTATGAGAATTTCCCATTGCAGACGCCAACGAAATGACGTCACCGAGCTATCGATCAACTACCCTGGTTATCGTCTGGTACCTTATAGCACGATGCTAGGAGGCGAACCGGAAGAATCGATGAGCTACCTCTCCCCCACAATCATTGTCATACTAAAGAGTATAAACAGAGAGTTGTAGTTTTTTTATTATGATTTCAAGCTCTTCAGTTTCAAGAGCAGACGTTTGGACAGCTTAGAGCTAATTTTCCGATCAATTCTTTGATTGGGAACGCGAAGGAATTGAATCTTCTATATAATTAACATACAGATGTTCAAATGGATTTGCCAAAATCGACCTACTTGATCAAATAAACCCATTTAAAAAGTATATCTTTTCCAAAAACAATTAGTTGGATCTGTGATTTCCTAATTCCCATCCATTGCTTCTCATTCTGAAAAATCTCGTAATAATCTCGCTCTAAGGCCAA